TCTTCTACAGAGACGAATATCCAAAAGCTACACAAAAGAATTCACAGATTGAACAACAAAATTGCAAAGAATCCCAACCTTGAGGAGCTCAAGCTGGTAATAGAAGAACTAAATCTAAAGGTACAAGAAGAACTTACCTCATTATCAAACAAATGGCGCTTAAGATCTAATGCCAAGTGGATTGAGGAGGGAGAGAAATCTACCAAGTATTTCTTTGTCCAATACAAAAAAAGACACTCAGGATCCTGCAGTTCCAAAATACGGATTCCAGACAATTCTAATGCAAATGCACAGGAACAAATAATGGACTATATCAAGGATTCCTATCAAAGAATCTACTGAACAAAATAGTATACTAACTAGATCTATTTCTGAAGAAGAAATAAGTAAGGTAATTGACAAACTCCCCAACAACAAATCTCCAGAAGCAGACAGCCTCATATACAAATTTTACAAAGATACCAAGGAGACTATTCTCCCAATACTGGCAAATCTATTTAACAGCATCCTTGACTCTAGTCAAATCCCAATCTCATGGTGCAAAAGCCTAATTACATTAATTTCAAAAAAAGCAGAAGACTTGTCAAATTTGAATAATTGGAGACCAATTTCACTAGTAAACTCCAATGTAAAAATTTTCATGAAAATTCTTGCCAACAGATTAAACCCAATCTGTGACGAAATAATTGGCTCAGCTCAACAGGCATTTATTGCCAAAAAGTCAATTACAGATACAGCTCTCGATATTATAACAGTTTTAAGAAACCAAAGGGACCAATCCAAACAACATTGGCTTCTTTTATTAGATCAACAAAAAGCTTTCAATAGAGTTAATCACAATTTTATTCAGCTAGTTTAGAAAAAATGAACTTTAGCCACAAGTTTATCAACATAATATCCTCTCTTTTCTCTTCTCAAGAAGCTCACATTGTGGACTCAGGATTTATTTTGGAATCCTTCAGAGTTGAACGAGGAATTAGACAGGGAGATCCTCTCTCTCCTCTCCTCTATATTTTGGCTATTAATCCTCTGATTCAGAAAATTAACCAAGACGTCAGAGGAATTAGAATCAATAACTTTGCATTTAAAGTAGCAGCCTATGCCGATGAACTTTCTATAGGAATAGGCTTTCCACTAGACTGGTCCAACCTTTTAGAGATTTTTATACAGTACGAAAAGGCCTCAAATACCAAGATCAATAAAGCAAAGTCCACATTAATTTCATTAACAAACAATGTACAAAGGGTCGAACTTGCGGACCAATTTGGCTTTAAGCTCCTAAATGAGAACCAAAATACCTTTACTATTCTGGGATACACCGTTGATCTAAAAGGCTCTCCTGACAAAACTCTTTGGAGCAATATTACCAAAAAGATTAAAGATAAAATATAGGACCTCTCTCAAAGAAATCTATTCTTTAAAGAGAAAATTCTGGCTACCAAAACCTTACTAATCTTAATAATCTGGTACCTGGCATATCTGCTCCCACCAACAAGAAAACAACTCAATGAAATTAATGCATTAATAGTAAACTGGATCAGGAGGAACTCGAGAATGTTGCCACAATACTCGGTCTTTCAACGAAACTATGAACAGGGAGGCCTAACAGCTTCTATTCTTAAGAATATGTTAGACTCCAGATTACTCTCTATTTGGCTTAAACTCCTTACAAGTACCTCATTTTGGGCCACAACTGAAAGAGCTCTGGCAACTTCAGAGCTATACAACAAAAGAAATCTCAACCCTAAAGAAGCTTTAACACAAACTCCTTGCAAAACCAAAGGATAGTCAGACAGATAGAAGCCTTACATAATCACCTGGAAAAGATTTAAAGGCAACATCGAAGCTAATCATAACTGGCCTTGGTCACTTGAACAAATTAAAATTAACAACAAAGATGGCTCGCAATTTACTGTAAAGGATGCACTTAAAGGTCTATATGAAACAGCCAACCCACAAACCAGAGCCAGAAACAATCAAAACCAAAAACTTTCAGAATACAAATGGCTGAGCACCAAATAGATACTCAATAAAAAGAAAGACACCTTCTGGTGCCTATATTACAGAGCACTCCCATTAGGATACTGTCTAATTCATATTAATCAAAACACCTTAGGAGATTGCCCCAACTGCCCATATATTACTCAAAAGATTAAACACTTCGCTCTGAAATGTTTTTTAAGCAAACTAATATGGGATACAGCATATAAGTTGCTTAAGGGTTTAAAAAATGAACCCACTCCATATACACTCAACGATATCTTTCAAGCGACCAACATTAAAGACAAGAAAAAGAAAGAAGCAGCAAAATTTGGCTCCACATAACCACTATTTATGAAATATGGTGCTGGTATACTCAAGCTAGATGGGGAAGCACAATAATTCCTCAAGAATCTATTGTCAATATAGTTACCATCAGACTTAAACACGAGTACAACCTTTTATATAAATTAGCTTATCAGAATATAAACACTAAATTTTATTTTTTTTTTTTAAACGTGAATTGGCATACTTTATTTAATAGATTCTATAATTACAATTATTAGAGCTTATCTATTTACAGTTATATATTAATATTTAAAAAGCTAACTAGTTTTTTCTTTGCTTTGTTTTCCGAAGTCCTGTTCAGAACTTTAAGGTTTTTCTGAATTCTAGCTGTTGTGATATGTCTGATTATGTTTTCTGAAATATAGTTACTACCCCATCTGGCTTGCGTATATCACAGCCATATCTCATATATAATTGTAATATGAAGCCATATTGCAGTAGTTTTTTTCTTTTGATTCTAGATATTTGATGCCGTAAAGACCTTCCGAGTTCTTAAAGAAACTGTATCCCTTATTCCAAATTGCCTGACTGATTTCGTAGTCTAATGCAAAATGTTTAATTGTTTGCCTTTCATATAGACAATTGGGGCAACTCCCATCTATTTCTCTGCTTATATGCATAAGACAATATCCTAGTGGGAGTGCAATCTCCAAAAGATATCCTTCTTCTTGTTTAAAATTCCTTTACTTACTACCCACTGGAAGTGTTTAGATAAATCTTCTTGGATATTTGTGGGTGCTTGTGTGGCTGTTGGTTGTACTGAATACTGCTTCAAGTATTCTGTTGCTTTCTTAACCGTGAAGTTATTACCCGGTTGTTTATGAATTTCTAGTTGAGTGACATTTCATAGCCAGTCACTTGTAGCTGTAATGTTTCCTTTGAGTCTTTTCCACGCTACTAGGTAAGGTTTCCAGTTATCTGGCCACTCTTTGAGCTTAATCGGAAATCTAGTTAAGGCTGTTACTACTGAAATGTTCCTTTTATTTCGAAGATTTTGATAGATTAATGCTCTCTCAATTTTGGCCTATGTGTTGTTCATAGTTACTAGTTTAATCTATACTGAGATTAATCTAGAGTCAAGTATATTCTTAAGGACTGGAGCATCTAGTCCTCCTCTGTTGTAGTCCAGTTGAAATGTCGAGTATCTAGGTAGTAACTTGGATTTATCTTTGATCCATCGTGAAATGAGATCATTAATTTTGTTTAACTGTTTCTTTTTGGTAGAAGAAGGTAAGCTAGGTACCAGATCTTGAAGATAAATAAGGCTTTTGCTAACAGAATTTTTCCTTTAAAAGAAAGGTTTCTGGTTGTAATTTTTTCAATTCTGTTCTTGATACTTTGAATTAGGTCTTCCCACAGGTGTTTTTTGGCAGCTCCCTTAATATTTACTTCATATCCCAGAATTCTGAGTAAAGTTTCCTCATTAGCAACTTTGAAGAGATTCTGATTTGGCAAATTAATTGTTTGTGCCACTTCTGTTATAGGGACTAAAATAGATTTTTCTTTGTTAACATTTGAGTTTGTAGCACTTTCATATTTTTGTAACAGTGACAAAAGTGTTCTCCAGTTTGAGGAGGAGCCAATTCCTACCATTAAATCGTCTGCATAAGCTATTGCTTTAAAGTGTTGCTACATAATTTGAATCCTACTGGTTTCTTCCTGAATTTTAAGAATCAGTGGATTGAGTGCTAGTATATATAGTAAAGGAGACAAGGGATCACCTTGTCGAACTCCTCTTTCTACTCTTATAGGTTCTGATATAAGGTTGGAGTCTGTGATGTATGCTGTTTGGGAGCTAAATAGAGAGCTAATAATGTTGATAAATTTTGTATGAAATTGCATTTTCTTTAGCACTTCTAGAATAAAATTATGATTTATCCTGTCGAAAGCTTTGTGTTGGTCTAAAAGTACAATCCAATATGGAATAGACTGATCGTTTTGGTTTCTCATAGTGGTAATGATATCCAATGCTTTATAAAAGCTTGCTGTGAAGGGCCGATTATTGCCTGACATATATTGTTGACTCTATTGGCCAGAATTTTCATAAAGATCTTCACATCACAGTTCGTGAGTGAAATGGGTCTCCAATTATTAATATTTTCCAGATTATCTAATTTCTTGGGAATTAAGGTTATGATGCTTTTAGTCCACGATCTGGATATTGATCCTGTTTCTAAACAGAAATTGAAGAGCTTTGTGAGCACTGTAGTTACTTCTTCTTTCATTTCCTTGTAGAATTCATATATAAGTCCATCAGATCCTGGGGCTTTGTTATTCGGAAGTTGGCTAATAGTACTGCTAACTTCTGCCTCTGTAATTCTATTAGTCAACTCTATATTTTGGGCTTCAGCGATTTGAGGTAAGTTCTGAACAAAGAAGTTTACTGCCTCCTTGTTTACTTTCTCTGCCTTGTATATTTTTTGATAGGTGTCTTTAACGTATTGTAACTTGCTAGCTGGACTTTGATTTATATTGCCATTGTGAATTAAAATTTTGTCTTATATTAAGGTTCTGTTTCTTGACTTGTATAATAAGAAGAAAAATTTGGTTGACTTTTCTCCTTCTTCAATCCATTTTGCATTTGATCTGACTTGCCACTTGTCTGAAAGAGCTTGGAGTTCTTCTTGCAACAAAGTGTTTAAGCTATCTCTTGCAGCTATCATATCTTCTGATGAGTTTTCTCTAGCTATTCTGTTGTCCATAGCTGCTAGTTTCTTTTGAAGCTTATTTATCTTTTTCTCTAGAGTTGGAGGAGGTCTGTATGCTCTAGCTATTGACTGTATTATGCATTTGTGCAAGTCCCATTTTGAAAGGTCTGTAATGTTCTGTAGTTCTTCTGTTAATTCCTTCTTAAGAAGCAAGTTATTTAGATATTTCCTATTAAATCTCCATTGCTTTGAACGTGGTTGCTCAGAAGACAGGTGTAGTTCACATTCCACTAGTAAGTGATCCAAGTTACCAAAATAGGTAGCAAGTTTCTTACAGTACTGCCCATGATTGGCATCGATAAAAATATAATCAAGCCTGGTAGCCATTTTGTGACCCCCTTGGATATTCTGATAATAGGTAAGAAGTGGGTCTTCATCTGCTACAATTGAAGCTGAATCTATAAAATCTAAGGTGAGCCCTTTAAGGAGTTCTCTTGTAGGATCACTTGAGATTGAAGCTTGACTAATATAATTCTTTTGTGGATCAAGGTTTGTATTAAAGTCACCGGCCAGTATATTGATTTTTTCTTTCTCAATCAAAGGAGTCCAACTGTTAAAGAACCTGGTTCTGTCTTCCACATTAGAAGGAGCATATACATTGATTAGTCGGAAAGGCTGTTGTTTGTATGAGAACTCAGCAATAATTACTCTTCCATTATGTGATTCTTCGATATTTTTGAAAAGAATATTTTTGTTGCTTGTTAAGATTGCTGTTTTAGAAGTTCAATATGAGCTATAGCCCCATTGGTTCTGTAAGAATTTTTGTGTATCTGTATTTTCTAGATTAGTTTCTTGAAGCATAATTACATCTATATGATAAGATTTCAATAATGTTAAGGTTTTGTGTGCTTTGTTTGGGTTATTTAAACCCTTGACATTTAAAGTTGCGATCTTGATTTTGTTAACCATTAAAATAATTTGTTAGAAGTATCAAATAGTTCCTTAATAAGGTCTGTAAGCCTTTGAGGCTGATCCAGAACCTGATTGTGTTTTGCTTCCTTCTGTAACATTTGTCTTGATTCAGTTTTTAGCTTTTTTTCTAGAAGTGACTACTGTGAAACCATCAGTTTCCTCTAATTGAGTACCATTTTCTGATATTTCTGCATTGTTGTACAATGTTGCTAGAGGGTCAATGACCATATTCTCTTGGTTGCTGCAGACCTTATTTTTATTTTGAAAAGTCTCTGAAGACTGGTTGAAGTTTGGGTTATTATTCTCAAGCTCTAATTCAGAGGTTGCTGTTTCCATTCTAGTATTCTCGTTTATCTCAGTATAGTTGGTATTTAGTTCAGTTGTTGTCTCAACAGCCATTTCTTAACTTTTTTCTTTGACATAAGGATTGTTTGGACTTAATATTAGAGGTAATTTCTCTTTTTGTTGTGAGCGCTGCTTCTTTTCTTGCATTCTGGCAAGTTTGAGCATTTTTTGAAGATTTCTGGCCTCTACTGAAGCTTTGTATTCTGTACAATCTTTCTTGACATGTCCTGCATTGTCACAGAAAAAGCAGAGCTTAGGAGCTTCTCTCCAGTCAGCTATTACTTTATGGTCCCAGATATCTGTAAATCTAGGAATTCTGTTAGGGAGGTCTGGGTTATCTGTTGTTTCAAAAATGATAACCCATTGATCTGATAGTACTGAAGTACCTTTGTATACTAAAGGTTTAATTGAGGAGATGGTGCCTATGTCTTAAAAGGCTTCCTTGATTTTTTCTGAGATATATTCTTTCTTGCCCATAGAAGTGTTTCGAAGTCTAACTGACAGAAAATTTCATCAAATATTTACTGGAATATACCCCTGAAGGGTTTGTTTGAAGACTGTTAGGCCTTCAGCTGCATAAAATTGCTGTTTTTCTTCATTTAGAAGAATTATTTCTAGGTGTGTTCTTTTGTTTTTGTTGATGACTAGTTTGGCGGCTATGAGGTCATCTCCCATTTTAATTGCTAAAGTCTCTACCAACTCAGCTGTAGAGATATTTTCTAGGTTGTGAGTTTCAAAAATTAGAGCAAACTCATTTTTTGTATAGATTCTTTTTCTAGAAGCGTAAGTTGAGAATGTTGCTCTTCCTCTTTCAAGCTTAGCGAATAACTTTGACCACTGTTTGGGTTCCAGCTGATTGTCTGTCTTTTTTGATTGGTGGATCTCGTGTTTGTTTTCCTGACCACGTGTCTCCACGTGTTTTGTTTGTTTTGATAAAAACTGACACATGTCATTCATTGTTGTGTTTTGCACGTCCTTTTCTTCTCGAGTTGATGTTTTTTCTTCCTTTTCTTTGCCTTTATTTTTCTTTGCAGTTGTATTAGTTATATCTTGTAACTTTAAAGCATTCTCATTATCGAGGTTGTTCTTTGAGTTTTGGCCCATATGTTAATCTGTCTCAGTGGAGGTTCTGGCCTTCTTGATTTTTCTGTTCTGTCCCATTATTGTAGGGCTTGACATACCTAGGCACTCTTGTCTATATTTCCTAGGCACAAGGGTCTTAGCCCTTGCTAGTAGTTTTGTAGTCAAGTATTTACTTTTGTTTGACATTATGTTTTTTTCTGTACTCTCCACTATCGGAGTGGTGGAGAGAAAGAGAGAGTTTAATATTGTTAAACACTAAAATTAATAGAGCCCAATGTAAAAATGTAATTATGTAATATAAATAAAGTATGCTTAAATGCAGTTTTTTTTTTTTTTTTAAAAAAAAAAAGATGCACTTTGCAATTAGAAAACAATTTGGCTTCTATCTCAAGATATGAGTAAAGCCTATAATTCTGTTAATCTTACTCTTCTTCAACAGTCCCTTCAGCATCTTGCTCTTCCTACCTCTATTATAAATACTATTATCAATTTGCTTACTGAATAACAAAACCAAGTAATTACAAATCTGGGCCTTACACCCTCATATCCTGTACTTAATGGTATTGATCAGGGTGAAACCATTACTCCTCTCCTATGGAAAATATACTATGACCCACTTATCTCATATATTCATAATAACTTTAAAGACTATACTACAAAAATCTCCTGGCCAACTAACCTCAAACACAAAACATTTAACAAGCTTAATTCACATTGTTCAGTTCTGCTTATATGGATGATACACTCTGGATTGCATCATCACAACATAGACTTTCACAAATTCTCTCAATAGCAGAATCTTTTATAATATGGCTAATATCCAAATTAATCCTTCCAAATCTATACTTACAACCAACAATTCTCTATGCAATTATAGCCCTATTACTTACAACAATCATTTACTTAATCTTCATCCTTCAAATCAACCATTCAAGTTTCTTGGATGCTGGTTTATACTTGACAACAAGCAAGCAAAACAGACTAAGCTTATAATAGCTAAATCATCACATCTTGTCAAAATAGCTAGTACCAAACAAATTACTAATACATATGCACAATATATTATTAATACAGTCATTATTCCTACAATTGAATACCACCTACATAATATTGTTCTTAGCCAGAACACATGCAACAAAATTTTTACCAACCATATTGGACTTCTTAAAAGTAAGACCAAACTTAGCTATACTATTCCTACTAGTATATTATTTCATCCAGTATTGCAATGGATATGAACATGTCCATGGACATAGACAATTAATGTCCATAGACAAATAAAAAAAAATGTCTATGTCCATGGACATAGTGTTGTCTATAGATGGTCTATAGACAGTTCATGGACAATTAATGTCTATGGACAAATAAAAACATCTCTATATTTATGAATGAATAATTAATTTTATAATTCTATATACATACTTCACTGTCCATATTATAATTACTTGAATTAGAAGTACACAAAAACTCTATAGCATTACACACAAACAATAAATTGGTTTTGATATTAGAAGATTAGTTTGATGCTAATATTACATTTAATTGCAAAGTGTTCAATAGTTTGAGTTGTGTGGGAGCAGCTTGGGCAGTTGGCATCTAAATTCTGTGAGATATGGTCTAGACGGTACCCTAATGTATCCTTTTTTCTTGTTCTGGATAGATCTCATCTTGTCCAGACACTTAGTTTCTATTGTGGAGTTTCTGCATTGAGCAACAAAGTAGGAGCTGATGGTAGTTCCTTGCGTAGGGCCTCTATATATATCTTAACTGAGTAATTGTCAGCTGTGGCTTGTTCTATTTTTAGGTCTTCTAGAGGCCAAAGCCAATTGTTCGTTGCTACCACTTGTCCTTTAGTTCTAATCCATGCCTTTAGATAAGGTTTCCATCTGTCAGGCCATCCTTTTAGCTTTATATTTTGTGCGATGAATACTGCCTTAATTGATATATTTCTTTTGTTCTGAATTCCTGTTTAAATAATGTTTCTTTCAGCTTTGGCCCAAAAGTGATTGCTTGAGAGGAGTTTAATCCAAATTGAGACCAGTATTGAGTCTAGCATAACTTTTAAAACTGAAGCTTCTAGTCCTTCTTTTTCTCAACTTAGTTGAAAAGTTAAGTATTGAGGAAGCATCTTTGATTTGTTTTTGGTCTAGTTTGAAATGATTGTATTGATTTCGTTGAGTTGTTTTCTGCTAGGTGATAGCAGGTAGGCTAAATACCAGATTTTAGAGATGAGTAGTGACTTGGCTACCAAAATTTTCCCTTTAAGTGAGAGGTTTCGCATTGAGAGGTGGTCTATGTTTTTTTTTTTTTTTTTTTTTTTGACCATTTTTTGCCAAATATTCTTGGATAGACTGCCAATAATATCTGCTTTATATCTCAGGATTGTTAGAGGTTTATCAGCATCGTGTACTTGCAGTAGTTCTGCTTCTTTTAATTGAATTCTGCAAGCATTTTCTGTAAGTGGGATCAAAATGGACTTGTGTTTGTTGACCTTAGCATTTGATGCCTTTTCATATTTGTTAATAGTATTTGT